TGCCTCCCGCGAGGACATTGATCGCGCGATGAGGGATTTAGATCCCCCGGAAGTGGCACCGGACTTGCCACAGTGCTATGCGAGCGACTTGCGCGTACCCAAAACGTATAGGGAGGCTGTGTCCTCTCAACATGCTGACTTGTGGATACACTCTGTAGAGAAGGAGTTCAGAGGCCTGATGGAGGCTGGTACCTTTGAGGAAGTAATGTAGCAACCAGAAAGTGTTATCAAGGCGAAGTGGGTGTTTGATTGGAAATCTGATGAGTATGGATGGCCAACCAATGTGAAATCACGGCTAGTAGCGAGAGGAGATATGCAGCGAGTACATGTAGATTGTGGAGAGACGTATGCACCGACTGTAGCGGTTTCTAGCGTTCGCTTGTTGGCAGCGATGGCGTGTGAGCAAAATCTTTCTCTCCGTCATTTTGACATCAAGCAGGCATTTGTCCAGTCGGATTTGGATGAGGATGTTTTTATGCGTCTGCCAGAGGGGTGTGGTAGATTATCAGGTATGATCGTGAAGTTGAACAAGAGTCTATATGGCCTTAAGCAGGCATCAAGGCAGTGGCACTCACACTTGGCGAGGTGTTTGATTTGTTTGGGTTTTATTCAGTGTATGGCGGATACGTGTGTGTTTCGGTTGATTGAGGAGGGAAGAGTGGTAGTGACTCTGGTGGTACATGTAGATGATATATTTTCGATAGGAGAAGAGGAGAGGTGTGACCAGTTTGGCAGGGACCTCAACACCATGGTACCTGTGAAGAATCTTGGGGATTTGAGATGGTACTCTGGATGTTTTTATGAGAGAGATTGGGATGCAGGAACTTTGAAGATCTCGCAGCAGACGTACGCTGAAGAGTTGGGGATGGAGTTTGGGGTAGAGTACGGGAAGGAAATTCCTCTTCCTGTAGGGTTGAAACTTTCAGAGTTTGAGCAGGATGAGGAAGTGGTATCATGGCCTTTTCGCGAGCTAATAGGATCACTGATGTGGCTGGCAACGCAAACGAGGCCAGATATCGCGAATGCAGTAAGAGCAGTAGCACGGTACTTTGCTTCTCCCAAAGAAATTCATTGGAGAGCAGGTCTTGGTATTTTGGGGAATGTGGTAAGGACTAGTGACTTGGGGATTTCATTCAGGAGGGGTAGTGTAGCAG